CCCCCCCCCCGTCACACCACACCCGCACAGTCACCCCCACCCTCGGCTTATCCTCATCCAGATCCCTCCCCTCCAGCCCGGTGCCTCGCCCGCCTCCCCAACAGTTTCTGCCAGTGCCCCCTCCTATTCCCTCCTTGCACGCCCCTCCATCCCCCCACCCGCGGCGGGGCTGTCTGTGGATTTCTCTCCTCTCTCTGTCTCACACACATTTTATTTGAAAGCATTGAATAAGTAGCTCAGGCTCTCGCTCAGACTTAAGGGGCTGATGAACTACGCCCCCGCCTCAGCCAGCTTTCTCTGCACCCCAATCCAGCCCGCTCCAGACGTCGGGCTGTGAGATTCTGCTATCACGTAGGCAGTGAGGTTGGGAGGGGGAGACGCGATGCTTCCCTTGAAACCATCAAGACAGATGTCCGCGGGTTTTAGGGTGTACCCCCAAGGCAAGCACATCTGGGGCGTCTCCAGGCAGATGCTCGCCCTCGGGGCCGACCAGGAGGCTGCAGCTTTGCGAGGCACCACCGCCCAGACCCGAGGTCCGGGTGGAAGGGTGGGCGGCACCGCCCCTCGGGGGATGCTCTCCCGACTTCGGAGAGGAAGAAAGGAAGAAATGCACCCTAGGAAGAACGGGCTTCGACTTTTTGTGCCTGTGCTTTCATGGAAGTCACCAGCTCTCAGGCTGATTAAGATGCTGCTCAGAAGCGCACCCAGCCAGGCTGTGGCCAGCCTTGCTAAGTCCGCGTGTCCAGGTCGGCGACCACTTAGGGTAACACCAGGTTACACAATAGGGTTAGGAGATATGCTCGCCATGCTTACCTGTTGGCAAAGGGAAAAAATGCAAAATAAAATTTTAAATTTGGAAAATAATACGTGGTGACATCTTTTAGAACCACGCACGGCTTTCTTCAGACAAAAGCCAATTTTACCATCCCGAAACCCATGGAGCCCTGGAACTTCCGTTCGCAGCACTTTGGCGCCCTCTGGCTGTGTCGGGATTGCTCGCTTGTTCTGCTTCGTCCCCAAAGAACAGGGGGAATGGAAATGCATGTTGTTCTCTTGGTTGGATCTACCCTCAGAGAGGAGCATGAATTCCGAAGGAGCTGGCCCTCCACGGTCGGGTCGGTCGCAATGACAAAACATAACCATATTTAAAGAGACAAACGCCAAAGGTAAGTGCCTGTCGTCAGTATCTCACCTGGGAAAGATGAGTCTCCCCCGGCAGAAAAATAAATAATAGAACTTTAATAAGAGCGTCAATGGAAGTGTCAAATCTTAACCAAAGAGTGATGGGGGAAAGGTGAAAATGTTTTGTGATGGCTGATTCTCCTTCTTCTCCTCCTCCTCTTCCTCCTCCTCCTCCTTCTTCCTCTTCCTCCTCTTCTTCCTCCTTTTCCTCTTCCTCTCCCTCTTCCCCTCTCCTCCCCATCCCCAGCCCTCTCTTCCCTCCCTCTCTAGATAGACAGATAGGTAGGTAGGTAGGTAGGTAGGTAGATAGATAGATAGATAGATAGATAGATAGATAGATAGATAGATAGACAGACAGATTTTTTTAACCTCTCTCCTCTTCCCCTCCCTTCCTCCCACTGCTTAAACCCATTAAGAAATCAGACAGTACAAGAACAGAAAATCAGATCACAAATGAGATTTATTCAATTGAACATTTCTTTCTTTTATGTCAGTATACCACCTATGAAGCTACGCCTATTTGAGATGCTGTGGTTCCCACACCAGAACCAATTATGACAACCAAAACTGTTTCCGGATATGGCCAAATGTCCTCTGGAGGCGAAAACTATACCAGGTTGAAAGCCAGCCCATGAGTCATTTTTAAACTTCTTAAAGTGAGCCTCTATTTCACTCTATTAATAAGATGAACGTTTGTAATTAATGATATTTACTGTTTGCTAAAGGAATTAAGTAGTGTGTAGAGATGGGTAGGGGTGAGTGGGTGTTACATGGTGTGCCATCACTCACTTAGGATTCAGGTACTTTTTATCCCAGTGATCATCTTAAAATTAATAGACATTTCTACTGTATTTTCAGGATAAGCCTGTAGATATTGTCTTCCTTTGTGTATCTTCGTGTTTAATTTTTCCAAAAATAACAGATAAGATAATTATTGTTTAACACCTTTGGTGCTTCTGGCTAGGCTTTTAGAATGGAGAGAGAAAACAAGCCTTCCAAAGGTGTGACTGGAATACAGATCACTGGTTACCATGGAAACAGGAGGCAAAAGCTTGTACCGATGAACAGAATTGTAAGCCTCTCTCCTTGATGCTGTCTCCCATTAGATGTAGTTGTTTGCCCCCTTTTTAATAATATATATATACATATATATGTGTGTGTGTGTACAGAGAGAGAGAGAGAGACAGACAGACAGACAGACAGACAGACAGAGAAAGACAGAGAGAGACAGAGAGAGACAGAGAGGGAAAGGGGAGCAGGTCAAGGGTGTGTTCAGTTATGGAACACTTGCCTGGGATGCTGGAGGCCCTGACTTCAATCCACAGTACCACACAAGTGAGTGCATGCACTCAAGTATGGGGGAGATTCAATAGAAACAGAGAGAACAGTGAGGGGTGGGTTAGTTTCGTCTTTGGCCACTCCTCTAACAGCTCAGGGCATATTTTCTTCAAAACATCTCTAAAATACACACTCGGAGAATTAGCAACCGAGCATATGAAGCTTTGAATTGTAGGAAATTGTTGCACTACCTACCGTGAATGTTACAGAGTAATGAATTTGGGAGCTTCTGGGGTTAAGGATATGATTCATGGTAAATTTAATTAACTTTCACCATCACAGCCATGAAAAGGGGATGCTGCCCTTTCCAAAAGAATGAATGCTCCCCCCCCAAAAAAAAAAACAAGGCTAGACTACACAGCTTGCATACTGAATCACAGTCATTTTAGCCTGCCTGTGAAACTTGTTCCAAGAAGCCCTAACCTACATTATAAAGGTTTTCATCAAAAAGACAAGTTGCTCCATAACTATTTATTTTTGCTAAATGATTTGCCACAAAATTGCCTGCAACATAAGGGACTCTTTGTCACTAAAATTATCCAGTTCAAAAAAAAAAAAAAAAAAAAGTCACCCATGTCTATTCAGCCTTTGAAATCGTAGCTCTGTTGAATCCCTGACTTTGGCTTATGTAGAAAGACCTAACCTCACCTTCCAGCTTCACCTCCGACTCTCTTGTCCTGCCTCCCCCACCAACCACCAAGGCCTGGTGCCAGCCTCAGTTTCCCAGATAAAACAAGATGAATGAAGCAAAAACAGTGGCAATAGTGTTAGTCCAGCCACCTTTGCTTGAAGGGTCTTTGAAGTATTCACTAGAGCGACCCAAACCCCACCAGAGACCCATTTTGAAAGTAAATTCCACTCTGCTAGTATAAAATGTCAGCCACGGGACTAACAGATCTCATCGACAAATTACAAGCAAAGGCTTAGTTGGTATTATACATGAAAGTGCCCGTTTTCCCTCCTGTATACATTAAAGATTTTCTTCAAAGGAAAATATCGCCATCTGTGTGTTGGCTTCATCCTTGTCTTTCCCTTCTCCGACCCCAGCCTCACTGTTCACGTGGCCATAGGAAAGGGCGCCCTTGGTTTAATCAGTGCTATGAGTTGTCCTGCTTCCCAGATAACACTTGGCAATGTCATTGGGGACTGTCACGTGAGAGTTGGAGAGACGGAACTGGCATCTACTGGATATAGGCCTGGGGACAGCCCTCAACAGCTATCCAGCCCCAAGTATAAATCATGTCAAGAATGAAAAGGCTGAGAAACTCTGCTTGACAATTGAGTATGACATTCTACCCAGCTGGGCAAGGCAAGATTTTTTGTTTTTTGTTTGTTTGTTTGGATTTATTTGGTTGGTTTTGGTGATGCTGGGTGCAGAGGAAGCTGCTTTTTGCTAGGGTGTCTTCCTCAGACAGACTGGGGTAGAGTTCCCTCTACCCACCCTTCAAGGCCCCCACCATCCCCTGGAGCAGAAAGCAGGCAGGTTGCTTCAAGAGCAAGGCCAAAGATTACCACTGAGGAATCTGAATTCCATTCCCTGTCACTACAGGCTGGGTAACTGAGAGAAAACAGCTTAACTCCAGTTTCCCGGTTTCCCCTGCTCTTTGTGTTTGTGAAAGGATAGCTGCAAACCTGAGTAGACACTTGTGTGTGAGGAAGCACGGGGCTTGAAGTGGGAGGGGCTGGCTGGGGCTGGCATTGTACTGGCAGAATTTCCTCCAGATGAAAGCAACCTGAGTCCCCCTGAATAGTTCCCACTCCCTCCCATCACCCATAATTCCCCCCACAAATCCCTCTTTTCCCATGTACATTTCTATTCAGCAGCACTTTGTGCGAACAAATCACATAAAACCGAAGGGAAAACAGGGTCTGCTTGCCAACCAGCAAGGCCAGGTATGCCTGTTGCCGCACGACACCAAGCAAGGGATTAAAGGGCAAGGCCTTTAGTCTAGGGGAAATAGCCCCTAATCTTGGGGCTCTCTTCCCTCTTAAATCCTTTAGAGGATAAGCTATTGTGGCATAAAGAATGTTGTAGAACATCCACTCGCTTTACTGAGGCTGGAGCCGGGAGTGCAGTAAGTCTGCCTCTGGACAATCGGCGGGTGGGCTACGCCTCTACTCACAAATCTGCTCCTGCAGGGTTAAACTAATGAAAACAC